AGTTCCGGTTACCCTTCCTTATGCATTATGTAAAAAAAAAAAAAAAAAGTATATTTCATTTAATTTTTAAAATATTAGCAAGGGGAAAATGATAAAAATAGAACTAGACTAAACATTTCTTTTCTAACTAGGATACTCAGGGATCAATTTCTAATGAGAACAAAAAACATATATAGTGTGATACAAAAATGGTCACTTTCTTATAAAGCATCCATCCTGGACAGATATCAACGTTATTCGTTATTTACTTTTCAAAAATCAGAAACCCTAGAAGGTTATAAATTATCTAATTTGTTACTCTTTAAACCAGAACTTTACTGTCTGTGAAAAAATAAACCAAATCAACCAAACGAAAAAGTTGACAACCAGATGTTTTTAACCAAGTCATGTTTCACATGAGAGGAAATTCAAAGAAAAGAATCAGAATTGTGACTTTCACAGCAGCATGGAAAAGATATAGTTGTGTAACCAAATGGTAACATTAACGCTACAAAACTTACGTTGGGGAGACACATTTGATATTTAAACAATGTAAAAACAATATAGACAGGCAAAAAACTGAACAGCAATAATCTTTAGTGTTACTGAAGGAAAGAACGGGTGGTGAGGAAAAAACAGTGCTAACTTTTAGTAAGATACACGAAATCGGATGTGTAATTAAAGGTATCAACCTTTTGTGTGTGTGTGTGTGTGTGTGTGAGAAAGGTGCAAGAAAGCTACTTACTTCTGGAAAACATTTCATGATACAAAAATATATGCACTGGTTATTTCAGCTTTGTACACAGAATGCATAATATTAACCCATTTCTCCAGCTTTTAGTCAACAATGCGAATATAAACGCCCGACATATGTATAATAAGTGCAGGGGCCAGGGAAACAGCCACGTAAATTCGGATACCTCCCTAACCGAACACTGAACATAATCCATGGTGTGCGCTAATGTGGAAGATCGTGTTAAAAAGTGACTTCAGTACAGTTTTGGGGTCCTCAGCTGGTGTAAACCCCTTGACTTCAAGGGAACGACACTGGTTGACACCAACAGAGATTCTTTTGTTTTTACCAATCCAGGGGCACTGCAGTATGCTGATGTTCCAGTGCTCTGGAACATGCTCTGTTTCAAGTTTCATGCTCTGGAACAATTCGGTTTGGTGGAATAAGAGTAGAGAGGAAGGTTGGATGCAAGGAAACAAAAGTATCCATGTGATGCAAGCTTTCTGCCTACACAATAATGGTGACGCGACGCACTGGAATGGGTTACCTAGGGAGGTGGTGGAATCTCCATCCTTATAGGTTTTTAAGCCCGGCTTGACAAAGCCCTGGCTGGGATGATTTAGTTGGTGTTGGTCCTGCTTTGAGCAGGGGATTGGAGTAGATGACCTCCTGAGGTCTCTTCCAACCCTAATATTCTATGATTCTAAGTAGCACAAAGAGAATCATTCACACTTTTCATAGCATCTTTCCTCTGAGGATCTCAAAGCGTTTAACTAAGCCGCACAAAACCCCTGTGAGGTAGGTTTGTCCAGATAGGGAAACCGAGGCACGGGAAGGTTACGTGACTTAACCAAGGTTACATAGCAAGTCAGTGTGGTAGAGATGGCAAGCAGAATCCAGAACTCCCTCAAGCTAGTTCTGGACCCTAGTCATGAAACTCCACTCCCTCCCCGAATGTGAATTAAACTAAAGAGTTGAGATGTGCAGTCACTGAAAGGGTCAGTTGAGACGGTGGTTCAGCAAACAGCATCAAGCATTGCTGTCAGGTAAGATGCCCCCAAATATTATACATCAATTTACAATAGTTTTTCCCTTTGAAATTTCCAATTGTGTAAGAATCACCCCAGCTTTTGTTCCTGGGAGCTTTGCCTGTGTCAGGCAGCATGACTGGGCCTTTACAGAACATAGGAAAGGGAAAGATCCTTTCTCAGACTTCTCCAGTTTGGGATGGGGAAGAGACACTTACAGCGAATCAGGTCTCTCAATTTCAGAGGCCTGAGGAAATCAGCAATAGCTATTGGCTAGTGAGAAGAGAATGCTGGACAGTAATGACATTCACGGCAATCTGAGCATTTAGACGAGTCAAGATTTAAACAGAAAGCTGGTCTTAACCTTAACTATAAGGTAATAGCAGTGGTCCAGTCTAGTAAAGAGCCTGATTTCGAGACTTGGCCTCCTCCCATTTTGCATCCACAATTTAGGAGGGACAAATAGGAACATCGGAAATGGCTCGTTCCAGTGAATGATTCATCTAGTCTGTAATCCCATCTCTGACAGTGGCCAGTACCAGATGCTTTGGAGGAAGTCCCAGGAAGTCCCATTATGGAATTATGGTGCATCTAAGGAAATTCTTTCCTAACCCCAGGCAGCTAGTGGCTGGTTTATGCTCCAAAGCAAAAAGGGTTATATTCCTTATGTATTTTTATCCAGCTAATGTAACTGCTCTTATTGTCCATGGAAATGTTTAATCTTTTGATTTTCAAGCCTGCTAAGCTCTTAGCAAAATATCCTGTAGCAGCGAGTTCCACAGCTTAATCATGCATTGTTTAGAATGCATTTCCTTTCATCCACTTCAAACTGGGTGCTGTGTGTGTCACCCTGCTCTGGTATTATATGAATAAATGAAGAGGAGCTCCCAACTAACCTTCTCTGTGCTACTCTTTATGTAAATACCTGTACTGCGTCCCCTCAGATCTGCCCCTCACTAAACTAGGTGCCAACTTTAACTAAGCGAAGTAAATAGTGCAGTATGTGCACGACTCCTCTACACTAGATTCCGTTCATTAGCAACCCCTCTGTGGCCAGCCATTCTCTGGCTGTTGCCAATAAGGCAGGTTTGCGGGGCTGCAGCCAGGGAAGGCAGGTCCCAGAGTTTCCTTCATTGTCCGCAGCCTCACAAACCCGCCTGTGGCCGGGGCCTTTCCTCCAAAAGCAGTTCTCAGTAAGCGACGTGCTGCTGCTAGTATCTGCATCTCATTAACATTAAGGTCAATGGGACAGGGCTGGTGCCCAGCAAAATGTTGCTATTAACCGGACATCGTTAATATCAGGGTTGCTATTAAGCAGCACCCACTGTCCTTTCCTAGCCTTAGTAGAGGGCGTACCACAAATACGGAGGTTAGCTCACAGCAAATCTTCGTTATCTATGGGAAACGGTGAGCTTTTCACCACAACTGTATACTGCTCCATTTTATTCTAATCTCCTCTCAAGGCCTTTTACCCTGTTCTGTGCCTTTCTCTGCCGCCTTTCCATTTCTCCTGTATGCTTTCTGAGCAGGGGTATCCAGAGCTGAACACTGTCTCCAAGCGGAGTGAGTATCATTGATTTGACAGTGGCACTCAGTATTTCCAGCATTATTCCCTATCCCTTTCTTAATTTAGCCTAACATCTGGTTTTACTTCCCCCCCCCCCCCCACACTTCTCTCCTTTGACTGCCGCTGCTCACCGAGCACATGTTTCCATTGCAATGGCTGTATTGACAGCTAGGTCTATTTCCTGAGTGGTTCCAGTTAATTTAAAACCTATCGACATGTATGGAAAGAAATGTAGGCATGGCTGAGGTCAATGAGACGTGATTGGCAGCTGCTATCCCACATGGCACTGGAGACAGTTGCACCTGCAAATATTTGCCTCACAAAATTGGGTGAGTGTGAAATTTCCACCCACAAAACGGGAAGCCAGGTGGAGGCCTCATTCGGAACCAGGCACAGACCACGTGTCTCGAAAAAGGCTCTTTTGGAATAGCAGAGCTACTCATTTTTTTAAAGTTAGTCCTTGAGCATAACAGCCCCCTTCACTGACCCTGCCATCTCATGATCTTGGGACGGGCATTCCTGAGGGTCTAACAAATGATGGTTATGAATGACGGGCCTGTTCAACAGGGATCTCAGGGTTTGTCTGTATGGAGAGGCAGCGAGCTGGGGTGTAGCAGTCTAGGCTGCCGTGCACGTAAAGTCCCCTGGTGCACTTTGAACTACTGCAAAGCAGGGTCACAGAGTAGCAGGGTCCACACGGCCAGGCTGGGGCGCTGTAGCTGGATACCCCGGCTTGCCGCACAGTAACTCTCTGTACAGACACGTCCTTGCCCTGTTGCTCCTTCAGTGTGGGTGGCACTGGGAGCAAGGTAGGTGGGATGCAATGGAGGTCGCCTTTCATACACTTTTGTGGCTGCTCATGGAATGGCATTCAAGAGGCTACGCTAGACTGCAAACCATCTTTGGGGCTGGGCAGGGCATGGAAAGACAAAGTGGAGACAGAAGTTATATGCTAGAGAAGGGTGGCCCAAAGGCAGGGGAAAGCAAGGTCCTCAGATTCAGGTTAGAGCCTACCAGGGCCTGATCCATTGGCTTGAATGGGTGTTGGACCGGGCCCTTTTAGTACGTCCTATCACTGTACACACACACATGCGGTTCCACTTGGAGTCAAAGCGAGTAGGCAGGGCAGGATCGGACCGCTCAAGAGGGATCTGATTCTTTCCTTGACAGGCACCAGTAAATGCCATGAACATGAATGGGAGTTACAGGCACGCACCATGGAAAGAAAAAACACGGCAGGACAGGAGAGTCCCCTCCCTCTTCACCGTCAGAGTTGATAGGAGAGGAAGGCATCCTTCATATCCATCCACGTTAACAAAACAGAGGAAACAGGGGCCTTTGCGGACTCTTGCCCACGAAAGTCACTGCCAATGGGACCTTTTGCAAGTAAATAATGACGAATTAAAGGGACACAGGCAGGTCAATTCAGCTCCAGTTATAGGGCCAGACTGCAACACTCTTGCATGAAGTGGTATCTTCAGGGGAGGCTCTAGCTTTGTTGCCGCCCCAAGCACGGCAGGCAGGCTGCCTTTGGCGGCATGCCTGCAGGAGGTCCGCTGGTCCCACGGATTCAGCATACGCGCCGCCGAATTGCCACCGAATCCACGGGACCGGCGGACCTCCCGCAGGCATGCCGCCGAAGGCTGCCTGACTGCCGCCCTTGCAAGGACCAGCAGGGCGCCCCCCGCAGCTTGTCACCCCAGGCTCGTGCTTGGAGCGCTGGTGCCTGGAGCCACCCCTGGGTATCTGAGTAGCTAACAGGGCTGCCTGTGGAGTACAAGGTTACCCTTTGCTCGCAAGGGTGATCCTGTATCACAATCTGGACTGAGATGTAAAAACTTTTTACAAAGCCTCAGATCAACACAAAGGCTCTCCATGATATTTTTCTGGCTAATTCCAATGGAAGCAGGGTTTGGGGTTTTTTTTTGGCTAAATCCGAAGAAATGCTGAGCATCTGCTCAGCACCCGCAATCTCCAATGAATTCAATGGGAAGTGCAGATCCTCAGCACCTCTCAGGATTTGGCCCAGTCTGCAGTGTTCGCTATTCAAAGCTGCATTTTGAGAATCTGAAAGCGACCCGAGACAGGGTAGGAATTAAGGGAAATTCTTTTCAATGGGTCAAGCGGAGAGAAATGCCCTCAGTCAACAGCCTAGATAATGAAGAGTAAATGAGATTACTTAAAGTCTGTCTGTGATCATTCAAGGTGCTATTTGAACAAGAACGAACGGTTTTTGTTAACGTGGCACTGTCCTTTTAAGGGGATGTCCTCGCGCCGAGTGCGAATCCCAGCGTGAGGAGACGGCCCATCAACCTAGCATGCTAAAAATGGAGCGGAGTGCGGTGCAACAGGCTAGCTACGCGAGTACGCGCCATTGGTCTGTACTCGGGAAGGCTAGCCCCTCCCACAGCTCGCCCGCCCGTGGCTACACTCCATTTTTAGGGCGCTAGCTTTATGGCAGCTAGTGTAAGCAGAGGTGATGCGTGGCGGAAGGCTCATATGCCCCCTTTCCCCCGCCCAGATCTGCGGCTTGGCTTGTATTGAGCATGCTCACACGAATGGAGCATGCTCAGTAACATTGTTGAAGCCGGCTGCCCTCACTCTGCCCCCCACTATCGCAGGCACGGGTCGTCTCTGAGTAAGTCAGTCTCCTCGAGCAGGGAAGCGGACGCCCCCGCTCGAAGGCTACACCCAGCCTAAAAATCCAGTTTGGCCAAGATTGTCAGAAGCGACTTGTGATTTTGGCTGCCGAATTTGAGCCACTTTAAAGGGATCCGATTTTCAGAAACTGTTGAGTACCCACCCTCAGGCAGTCTGGCCTCTTTAAAGTGTCTCTTTAGTTGGTGTTGGTCCTGTTTTGAGCAGGGGACTGGACTCCATGAGGTCTCTTCCAACCCTGATATTCTATGATTCTGTCTCAAGTTGGGTCCTAACAAACTGATGCTCCCCAAATCCCGTTTGAAAACGTCCCGTAAAAACAAAACGCTGCTAACCATAGCCCCATCTGAGATGGCCTTTTTGTGAAGCACATGGTTATACGGCCAAACACACCCGACGCGCCAGTCTTAGGGCAGGTGGTCCTGCCGTAACGGATTCCAAAGAAACAAAACAAAGAGCAAGACTTCAGACCTGCAGCACTATTCATTAAAAAATAGTCAACAACCAGTGCAAACATATTCTTTAGAAAAAGGCAGTATAAGAATAAGTTAAAAACTAAAATGGACTATAACAAAAGAGTCAATCTACTGCTTTTTTTTTTCTCCAACAGACATGAGGTAGTTGTGTTGTTAAGGAGGAAAAAAATAAAGAGAGAAGTAGTAAAAATGCTACTCTATACCACACTCTACTCCACTTTATAAAATTAAATAATATAAAGATGCTCCGAGGAAATAAAAATACATTGTCGTACATTAAAAGGAGAGAGACGTACCTAAAACGATAGGTACAAGAACCTACATAACACAAAGTCCAGCTTGGTGAAGTGACCGAGATGCTGGAGAAGGTTCTATATAATACAAGTTGTTAGAGGCACTCGCAGAGTGTGTAATAAAAGGCCACTACATCAGCCTGCTAGTAATATTTACTGGGGTAGTGTACAAAGGGATTATTAAAATCATTTTAACCATGGGCGAGCGGAGAAGGCCACTGGTTACGGCTAATTACCTTTCGGCTGGCGTTTGTTTCAACCCCTTTGGGTGCCTGCTTCGCAAAACGCATCGCAAAGCTGAAGAGGGCTAGGCAAGGCTGGGTCCCTCCCTGGCGAAGAGCAACATTGGGGAAGATACGCTTAATGTATTCTCCCTCTTTCCACCGTGAAAAATGTCCCGGCACGCCCCATCATGGAATAAAAGGAAACAATGGCACAGGCTGAAGGTTCTGTTTTAGGCGCTTCAATGGGAGTTGAATTGGGCCCACGGCAATCTACATATTGATTTATTTCGTGTATATTTAGGGCTGTTCACCTGTCCAGGAACCTGAGCCTTTGAGGTACTGAGCACCCTCTTTCCCCCATCGAATTCACCGCAAGATGAGGGCACACAGTATCTCTCCGGATCTGGCCCCCAGTAACTCACACCTACTTCTTCTAGCTCTCCCATGGTCAAAATCAGATTAATTTCCTCTTTAATGGTTATGGACACGCGTCACGTTCTCAGATGCTGAGGATGAATTGATTAGCGCAGAGATACTACACAGAGGGGCGTCCTGCTGGCCTGTGGGAAAAGCTTGGCACTTGACTGGCTGTACGTTCCCTCTGCCTTCTTGAAGACAGTCCGAATCCCCGCTTTCCATAGAGTCCAGACTTTCTCCGTGCCTGTGGAAGCCATTGGTGAGCCCAAGAGGGCCGACAGCTTCCATTTTGTTAGTCTTTCTGTCAGTACTTAACAGGGCATCCTGGGTCTGAAGCTCAGGTTTGCCTTGGCAGTCCACTAATGCTTTGCTGACATTCTGCTTGGCGTTTGCGGAGGTGTGAAGGGGCTGCTCATCAGAGGGGTCGTTTTCTGGGTTGTGATCCTCAGGATCCATTTCTTCAGCGTCCAGCGTGTGAAGCGGAGAGTCTCTGTCAGAGGCTGAGAAATCGGAATGGACGATGATCTCGGCTTCCACTTGATGGAGGCTGATGGGTGGTTGATTTTTCATCACTTCATTCTGTTAGTAAGCAGAAAACAAAGGGAGAAAGTGACTAAATTCAGATCATTCAGCCCCTGGATCCTGACAAACGGAGAAGCCCGTGTTTAACTGGGAGCACGTGAGTAATCCCATTGATTTCAATGGGCCTACGCACATGCTTAAAATTCAGCGTGTCTTTATATGCCTCACTGGATTGGAGTCTAAACACTGCTCATGCTGTAACATGAGCAATAGCCAAAGTCAGAATGGCTTTATGGCGGAACAGCTTTGTTCTGCTCAGAAACAAGAGCGTATGGTCTTTTTCAATGCAGGCAACTTTTCCAAGCTTCTCTTTTCAGGTCTAAAGTCAAGCGATGCTATTTTAACCCAACCAGATTTTCCAAAATGCCAGCTGAGTTTAATTGCATTTTCCATCAGCTTTTGGTAATTAATGTTGGAAATAAAGCATGCAGCTCCGAGACAGAGCTCACTGTATACCCAAAACCAAAGACGTCATTTAAAAAAATAAACATCAGGCTGTGTCATTTTAAAAGACAAACAATCTAACAAAAGCCTATTCAGATCAGTAGCCCAAAGCATTTCCGGGCGTTTGTCCACATGGTTTTAGACGGTTGTGATTCCATCAATGATTTCAGGGAAAAAAATAATATTCTGGGTTTTGAGCTTGGCAAGTGAGCAAGGTTGGAACGGCTTTCCCAAGACTGTGTTATAAAATGTATTTGCAAATCTGAAGTCAACACACGCAGGGCATGGCATTCACCTCCCCAGTGTGGATTGCCGATCCCCAGTCCAGACGCTAGGCGCAGAGCGCTCATTTACAACAGCGAAAGCGTTCTCTCGGGAATGAGCACAGTGGGCATAACAGAATTCACACTGTAAACTGGGCAGGAGAACTACATCCAGATACATGTACTCTGCACTTATACATCATTGGGGGGAGGGATAGCTCAGTGGTTTGAGCATTGGCCTCCTAAACCCAGGGTTGTGAGTTCAATCCTTGAGGGGGGCACTCAGGGATCTGGGGCAAAAATCTGTCTGGGGATTGGTCCTGCTTTGAGCAGGGGGTTGGACTAGATGACCTCCTGAGGTCCCTTCCAACCCTGATATTCTATGATCGCCTTCCATCACAGGACCTCAAGATGCTTTGGAAGCCTCACAACACATATAGCTACAGGTGGGGAAACTGAGGCACAGAGCAGTGCAAAGACTTCCACAGGTTACCCAGTGAGTCAGCAGCAGAAAGGGGACTAGACTCCAGGATCCTAGCAAACTATACCAGGGGTTAGCTTAGAGGTATGGCTAATAGTGTACAGTGACATTAAGTGGCTGGATAGCAGTACGGCCAACCCCAAGCATTCAAAAATAATGAATCAGGTTCCAAAAACTAATGAGAGTTTAAAAAAATGAAAAGTGTGGGTTTCTTTTTATTTGCCTTTGGGTTTTGAGCCTTGAGAATTCATTTTTTCAAGCACGAGGGGCTCGAAATGTACCTTTTATTTTTTAAACGTAAGCTGAGATTCTCATATAATCACATGACTCCAGGAACTGGGACATTAAGAAAAAAAAACCCAGCAAATATAGCAACCGTGAAATTGTGAGAGTTGGCAATGTTATAATAACAACAGTAGTAATAACTTGCTCCGACATAGCACTTTTCATCAGTAGATCTCAAAGGAGATTTTTACAAAGGAGGTGAGCATCATTACCTCCATTGTAGAGCTGGGGAAACTGAGGCACAAAGCATTGTAGTAACTGGCTCACAGTCACCTGGCTTGCCAGTAGCCAAGCCAGGAATAGAACCCAGATGTCTTGAGTTCTAGAGTCCAGTACTCTGTCCACAGGGCGACACCGCCTAGAATAACATGGATGCCTTCAGATTCTTAAGGATATTCCCCAAGTCCTTAGCTATCAAATATTGAAATTGGAACACGTACATTACAACGATTCCACAAGGCCCTCTCCTTCTAGAGACAAAGGCTGAGATTTTCAAAAGTCCTCGTGATTTTAGGTGCTTAAAGGGACAGATTTTCAGAAGGTGCATGCTCGGCACTTTCTAAGGATCAGGCCCCTTTGTGGCATCTGAAGATGGGCACCCAAAACATGAGGCACCCAAGCTGACTATTCCCTTTTGAAAACGTTGGCTGCAGGGTACAAGCAGAGCAATATTTGCTAGTTACCTTCATCCTATTTTGTAATCGGCAAAAGCTGTTATAAAACAAAGCCCTTAGAATCGGAAAGAACAGAACGATTTCACTCATGCAACATTTAAACTGTGTCCTGTGTTCTTGGGTCCTTTGCATTTATTTTTAAGCAGGGAGTTACTATATTAGACTAAAATTTGTTAACTAAGCAGATTTCTCTATTTTGGAAGCCCATAGAGAGCTCTTAGACAATTAGCTTTAAAATCTTTTCAACGTTTATTGCCTTTGCTGGTTAACAACTTCACTTACTGAAAGGAAACAATCCAAAACAAGGAAGTGAACTATCCTATGTGTAACTCTCCGGCTTTCCAGTTAAGCCAATTTTGTGTAACATTTACATATTTTAACACTTCTCTCCTTTTGTTGACAAACTCTGATGGGTAGCTAAACTGTGATGTAAATGACACTCTATAATTGGGTTGTAAAACATTGTCTCAACTCTCTACACAACATTAATTACATCCTGTGTATAACTGATTTTCACACTGCTATCTAGGAAGGAAGCATAGGATAGGTGGAGGTACTTATTAGAGGACAGAAGACAAAATCTTAAAGCAACACCAGGCAAATCTCTTGCTTTACAGAGTCAGCTGAGTTTATATCAAATTGCTTCAATGGAGCCTTGACACAGATTATGATATTAGCAACTGCTTAATTGAAATACATCTGTATTCCTAAATTTGAGAACACAACATCAGAAATGTGAATGCTGATTTTCAATAAGTCTTGGAACACTGGGGAAGTTCTAGACGACTGGAACAAAGCAAACGTGCCAATATTTTAAAAAAGATAAAAGGGATGACGCAGGTAATTATAAGGCTTGTCAGCCTAACATCGATCCTGGGCAAGATAATGGAGCAGCTGATATGGGACTCGATTAATAAAGAATTAAAGGAGGGTAATGTAATTAACGCAAATCAACAAGCATTTGTGGAAAATAGATCCTGTCAAACAAACTTGATATCTTTTTTTTTTTATGAGATTACAAGTTTGGTTCTTAGGGTAAAAGCACTGATGTAATACATTTAGATTTCAGCAAGGCGTTTGACAGTACCGCACACCACTTTGATTTAAAAACTAGAACTATATAAAATGAATATGGCACACATTAAATAGATCCAAGACTGGCTAACCGATAGGTCTCAAAATGTAACTGAAAATGGGGAATCATCGAGTGGGTGTGCTTACAGTGGGGTCCCTCAGGGATTGGTTCTTGGTCCTACGCTATTTAACATTTTTATCAATGGCCTGGAAGAAAATGTAAAATCATCACTGATAAAATATGCAGATGACACAAAGACTAGGAGAGGGGTCAGTAATGAAGAGGACAGGTCGCTGATTTAGAGCGATCCGCATCACTTGGTAAATTGGGTGCATGCAAACAGAATGTGTTTTAACACAGCTAAATGTATATGTATACATCTAGGAATAAAGACCGTAAGCCATACTTACAGGACGGGGGACTCTATCCTAGGAAGTAGTGACTCTCAAAAAGATTTGGGTGTGGTGGATAATCAACTGAACATGAGCCCCCCAAAATGACTCTGTGGCCAAAAGAGCTAATGTGATCGTTGGATGCATAAAGAGGGGAATCTTGAGTTGGAGCAGAGAGGTTATTTTTCCTCTATATTTGGCACTGGTGCAACTCCTGCTAGAATACTGTGTCCAGTTCTGGTGCCCACAAAGGATGCTGAGAAATTGGAGGGGGTTCAGAGAAGAGCCACAAGAGTGACTGAAGGATTAGAAAACCTGCCTTACAGCGACAGACTCACATGCTCCATCTATTTATCTTAAAAAAAGAGATGGTTAAGGGGTGAGTTGATTACAGTCCATAAGTATCGACATGGGAAACAAATATTTAATAATGGGCTCTTCAATATTGCAGAGAAAGATATAACACAATCCAATGTCTGGACGTTGAAGCCAGACAAATTCAGGCATAAATTTATAATGTTGCAAGTAATTAACCATTGGAATAATTTTCCAAGGATTTTTAAAACAAGATTGGATGTTTTTCTAAAAGATCTGCTCTAGGAATTTGTTTTGGGAAGCCCTATGGCCTATGTTATGCAGAAGATCAGACTAGATTATCACAGTGGTCCTTTCTGGGCTTGGAATCTATGAAACCTGAATTTTTTCCTGATCTGTAGACGAAGGATAATGGAAATGGCTTTACACTACCTTTCAAAGGAATTTAAAACAACCCTTGATTTTTGACTCTTTCTATAAGCAAAAATGCAATTCCTTCTCCAGGTTGGAATAAAATAGATCTTAATAACTCTCTATGCTGGTTACTGTCGATCCTAACTCATTTTATGTGTAATTTTACTGCACTGCTACATAAAAAACCCAAATCTGTTCTCTGGAGCCTGATTTCTGCTCCCCAGATAAGAACACGGCAGCCTCTCTACCTCATTAACAAGGAATCTGCTCCACTCCCCCCTTGGCCACCAATTCAAGACCACAAGGACTGAGGAAAGTAAGGCAGTGAGAACAGGGGGATTGCTGGACCTCTGAGAGAGACACAGAGGACTCCCTGAAAATAAAACAACTTTTCCCCACGTATGCGAATCACACATGACATGCAGTGATATACTTGGGCAACGGAACAAAAACCATAATCAGCAAACTGAGATGAACTCTATGGGGTAAATATTTTCTCTTCCTCTACAATCAGGGAGACGAAGGGACACATAACAAATGTACCGTAGTGCACAAGCAGCTGACACTAAAATACTGAAAACACCCACCGTAACAGCATTGTACACCAGGGCTTGTAGCAAAAGCTTTTGTCCTGCATTAGAAGGCGGCTTCAGTGTACCATTCACAGCAGCAGTAGGCTCTTTTGTAATGGCATCTCCACATCTGGCTATGCTACTTGTCCAGTTCTGATTAATTGATTTATTCCATGTAGACTGCAGAATAAAAAGGAAAGCAATGATCAGATTATTTCCAAGACACAGATTTGTATCCTTCCAAACCTGAAAGAACAGGCAGTTCAACACAAAGAAGAAGGTGGAGAAATGCCATATGGCTTAAAGATGTCGGTTAAATGCAGCCAACACACTTCCAATGACGTCACAATAACACTAGCCCTGACAAACTGACATTACCACCACAGAACATGGGGTTTAGTGCACTGATTTGTTATGGTCCGATGTGGAGCAAGTGGATAATTGGGATTTTCTTAGCTCTGACCCAATATTTCTAATACCGTTCTTCCTGTGACACATTACGAGAAGAGTTCATACTCCAAATCTAATATGGGAGTCTCTGCTGATTTCATAGATTTCAAGACCAATAGGATGCAATGTATCAGGTAGCACCACACTGCATGCATCTTCCTTTTGAAGACCTAATTCAAAGCCCATGGAAGTCAGGGGGAAAATGCTCTTTTATCTCAATTGGTTTGGCATCAGACCCTACTGCATGTACATGCCAAGACACTAGTGGGTTGGAGGCAGTGGGAATAATACTCTGCACTTCAGTAGCTACCTTCCTAGAACGCTCTCAAAGCACTTTATACAGGTGGATAGAGATCTCCATGTTACATGTGGAGAAACTCAGGCACAGAGAGACTAACTGACTTGCCTAACATCTAATAGTGGCTCAGTAGAAAAGTTAGGAATAGAACGTAGGTCTCCAATACACCACTCTGCCTCTCTTTCTTAAAGTTCCTCCATGAGTTAGAATCTTTTAGCATTTTATTATTTGAGCTTTTCCATTTTGCATGTTTTATAAGGAAGGATCCCATTTTGGGCCAGATCTTCAGCTGATCTTCTGTCTGGCTCCCTCTTGCGTGTGCATATGCAAAAACTGCACACTCACATCTATTCACCCACACTTTGCAGGTACAAAAACCTGCACGGATGTCTTGAAATGTTTAACACCTACAGAATGTGCACCTGCAAACTCCATTAAGGTGAATGGGTTTTTCAGGGGTACATTTTAACCCTTCTGCATGCAGAGGTGTTCAAGGATGTAGGTAAGCGTTTGCATCTGAAACATGCAGCTCACGTGTGTTTGTGTGCGCGCACAATTTTGTTTGTACGCACATATAGACTGAGGGCTGAAAAATCAGGTGCTTTATATCAATGAATTCTGCTACGAATCTCATCCTAGGAAACCTGGCAGTAGCAAAAGCAGACAAAGCAGTTGGGTTACTTTTGAAATGCACTTTAATAGAAATGGTTACACGTTGGCCAATTTATATTCAGACACTTGGTTAGCAAAATGGTTAACCACATTCAGCAGCAGCTACAATTGATACATACACACAGTGGTGACAAGTTAATGTCAGAGTTCTGTGGATTATACCAACATGGAATGGTCTAAGCCAATCAGAGGGCAGGGACGCTGCATTGCTACTGACTCACTGATAGATATCATAGTTTTTGGTACTCGCACACTATGCAAATCCTTACACTCTCATTGGCTATTGCCCTTAGAACTCACCATCCACATGCCCACAACGAACATGGCTGCTACAACTTCTCATTTCACCCAGCTAACAGAAGAAGAAAAACCCAATTACGTCGCAAAAACATCTCATTGTTAGACGTTTCAGTATAATAACCGCAACCAAACGTGTTTCCTCTTGACCCAATAACAACTGTCTTCTGGGCTAATGCTTTGATTCTAAGTTAAAAAAAAAAAAATCTCGGTGGTCGCCTTATCATTAAAAAAAAAAAAAAGGGGGGGGGAGGGATAGCTTAGTGGTTTGAACATTGGCCTGCTAAACCCAGGGTTGTGAGTTTAATCCTTGAGGGGGCCATTTAGGGATCTGGGGCAAAAATCTGTCTGGGGATTAGTCCTGCTTTGAGCAGGGGGTTGGACTAGATGACCTCCTGAGGTCCCTTCCAACCCTGATATTCTATGAATGTTATTTTGAGAAGTAACTTTACCATAGCAATTATGGACATTTACCCATAACACATCAGCTAATTCTCTCCAGCCCTTCCTGGTATTATACAAGCTACCACTAGTCCCTCTCGACGTTTTAACTACAGTACTTTTTGTGATGGAAGGATCTAAGCCAAACCTCGAGTTCTAACGGTGCATCATTAGGATTATTTATCTACTGCTGTAAATGCACAGGGCTGCGCAGTAAGAGAAAGGTGACATATAATGAATTGGTGCCCTACTTTGAAAGGCTGCCTGGAACATCTGGTTAGGAATTTATTTTCCTCTTTCATGAAAAATTTCAATGAAAATTATTATTTTTTATTTTCATTGACATTTTTCTTTGAAAGCTTCCATGGGATTTGGTAAGATGCTTTTTTCAGCAACCAAAAATGGAAGTTTTTTTTTTACAATTTTGTTTCATTTTGTCAAAAAGCCAAGTTTTTACCCTAAATAAAAGTTAAAATGAATTTCTTTGCAGCAACTGTTTTGTCTAGGAACAACATAGGACAGCAGGTGGGTCGCTGTGACAGCGATGGCAATTTCCTGCAGTATCTTTGGGAGCTCTCACTCTATTCAGTTTATTTATCCCAGTAGTCCGGGGATTGTCTGTAACTCCATGGGGGATGGGAACCACAGACCCCCGGGAACTAAGAACACTGTGGGGTAATTAGGCATATTCACTCAGGGTGTAACGCCTCCACAGAGGTACCACCGCCTGGAGAGGCTCATATATATTGGTTCAAACTGGATTCCCCAGAGACCAACAAAGAAAGGACTTTGGATAAACAGCCTGAGTTTAAACAGGCTTTCTGATCCACCAAACAAACAAGACCTTCTGTCTAAGGAGGGCTCCAGGCTTTCCTGGGAGAGGCTGGAAGATTTTGGCCTACTGAGGCCCCATAAGACTGATGGGTGACCTTTGGTAAACTTTTAGCAGGCGTATAGGAACGCTTATTATTGCTATTATGTTTTCTCTGTACCGCTTTCATTTTGAAAAGAAATGTGCTTGCTTAGACCAGGTCTAGGCTGCAAACTTATATCAGTATAACTACGTTGCTCAGGGGTGTGAAAAATCCACACGCCTGAGTGACACAGTTATACCTATCTAACCCCCGGTGTAGACAGGAGAGCTAGCTACCGCCTATCGGGGAGGTGGATTAACTATGCCGATGGGAGAAGTTCTCCCGCCGGCGTAGTAGTGTCTTCACTAATGCGCTATAGCAGCGCAGGAATGAGTGATGGGAACAAGCTAGCAGTGACATTTGGGCTGAGCAAAGAGGGTGGGAGGCCATGCAAGAGAAAATTAGAGCCTAGATACAGAGAGAAGCTGATTTATGGGGAACCTTCATGGTGGGAGAAGGGGAAAACGTGGATTTTATTGTGGGAGAATGCATCAACTCCCCACCGGGAGAAATATCGAGCCAGAAAGAAACCAGGGACAGTTCTAGCCTATTGAAAATTAATTCAGTGATAGAAACAAATGGCCTTTTTTGGAAATAAATAGATCTTTCAGCGCTGTCTGATGGCATCATTCACTTTGGTGATTGGAACAATCACTATTCTGCTCTACGGAGAAAGACTCACCACACAAGTACACTATCCAGGCACATTCAAGCTGAGGTATGTATGAATAAAATGTGGTAACTTCACCAATACAGGGGCACAAAACTTAGGGGGGGGGGGAGGGTGTCTTTTTTTTTTTTTTTTTTTAAGCAGACCACCAAGCTATTCTTAGTCGAGCTTCAAATCCCCCAGGCAACCAGTGTTACCTTTTTGTAGATCTAATTAAATTATATGGGCTGAATGCAATTTGTTCTGGGTTCTCTTGGCTTCCCCTTGCAATAAACCGCTGAATGCACACCTCTGTGCATGGGAAATGTGTGCCTTTAAGAGCTCAAATTATTTCACAGCTCAGACTCTTAGTTCATGGACAGAGGCAATTTCTTTGCGGGGCTTGATTTTACTGGGCAACCTTGTGTTTACGCCGACTCACCTTGTTACCAAAAGCTTAGTGTGGGTAGAGCAACTCCTCTTTCTGGCTTGGCGGTTAAGCAGAAATGTAGCCCCATTTTTCTTTGGTGGTCTATTTGTCCCACAAAGAATAAATTCTCTGAGAACTGGAGAAGAGCATGGGGGGAGGGAGGGGAAGATGTACGGTTTAAATGGAGGAAAATCGCTCTTCTTTTCTCTCTCTCTCTCTCTCTCTCGATCTAATGCCCAGTGAGTATATCACAGAGCCTGTGTCTAGCTGCAGGAGCAAAGAGGCTTCTGACACCAGTGTGGCCTTGTATGAGTCATTTGACCTCCTTGTGCCTCAGTCCATCTGGCTGGAAATGAGACAGCAATGCAGGACCAGATGTTGCACGTAAGCGGAGCATTCCAAAGTCAGTCACTTACAAAAAGTCACACATTAGACCAGGTTGTCGGGGCTGGCATCGGGCAAATAAAAACAAAATGCTCATGTACATGCTTAGGAGGTGCTGAGTGCTCCCGGCCCACTTTGACTTCAAACAGCAGCTAAAGGTGCTTAGCACCTCGCAGGATAAGACCTCTCTAGATAATAATTGCTTTGCACAAAAATCTCTAGGGCCAAACCTTGCTCCCACCGAAGTCCCATCACTACAGGATCAGGCCTGTAGAGACCAGATATCAAAGATGTTGTTTATGCAGCAGTGAGCTTCAGAAAGAAAGATCAGCAAAGCAAAGCTGTGGATTTCAGGTGCTCGTTTTCAAAACTGGAAATATGCTGATCATGGTGACAGCATCTCTGCTAACGGTCACTTCCTGTCCATTAACAATACAGTCTATTCTGGACCAATGCCCCGTGCCCCTCTCCCTTTCGTTTGGGTCAGCGATAATTAAACTAACAGTAAGTAATGAGAAAACAGACAAGTGATCACATATAGCTGGCTGGGATGAAACACAATAAGGAATATTAATAAATGAAACAGCATTTAATTACACTAATTTGCTCCTGCTGCCATCTGAATGGCTTTCTGCAGATAGGTCA